ACACAATGGGCTAAGAGGGGGTCAAAAGTCAGGACAGGCCAAGAAGTACAAAATAAAAGCAGGATGTAACGTTATTCATGTGTTTTAGATGCTTGGGATTGAAAGTATTGTAGAGGTCTGTTGTTTTTTTTTTTTTTTTTTTTAAGTTGTCATTTCAGGCGCTTAACATTTTTGTAGAATTTTCCTGAAACGTTTGAGGTGAATTTTAAGAGCGAAGCAATTAAAATCTCTTTTCAGTGTTAGTAAATGACTTTAAAGCCCAAGTCCTTGTGGCGTGTGCCCGTGTCTGCACGTGGCCGGGCGGTGCTGGGGGAGGCTGGTGGCCTCCATCGGGGGTTTTCCCTCATTTCTCTGTAGTCGTCTCTTAACGAAAGTGAGCCTGCTGTCTGCTCTAGGCTTTGTAGACTGCAGAAAAATCTCACTTCAACTTGAGTTCTGAATAGTTTTCCTGGTTTATCTGTAAATGCAGTTATTTTTTTACTCTGGGAAGAGGGGGGAGCAATTCCTAGCACTCGCAGTGCTCAGGTGGTGGTCAGAGTTAAAGTATTGCTGGGGCAGTGGGGACTGCTCCAGTGAGTAAAATACACATCGTAAAAAAGTCTCTGTATCTTATCTGTTATATGCTATTTGCTGTTATCTCCAGCATGTGCAAGGACGAAGATGCAATGCTCTGTGGGTACAATCTGTGGCATTTGCCTTTAAACTTCTCTCTGTCCAACCTGCAAACACAAGAGCAATCGTCCTGAAAGTACCAGAGGACACGCTGTCCGCTGAGGCGGTGTGAGGTTTAGTGGCTGTGTGGTCTTGCTGTACTTAACTTTGTTGCACTCTCTGCTGCTCCTGAGAATTGTATTTCTGATTGTAGGAGATAAAACTTGTCAATCCAAGAAATCATTGGTGTCTGTCACATTGTGGCTGTATTTTGAAGTGAAGTTTTTCAGAGGATAAGCTATAGAGAGCTTTTCTTTAGTAAACTTCAGGGAAATTTATTTTCTATTAATTAATACTTGTAAAAATCAGTTTTTAAGAACAATATGCAATTGCTATATGTTGAAGACTGTGAAAAACGAGCAGTGCAAAATCCTAACCCTGCCCCAAAAGTCACCTGCAGTGACCTCTCAACTTGACATCCTCAGTTATTATTGCAGTACCTGACTGCTCTCCAAGAACTGTCAGTGTGGATAGAAGGTAATTCCAGCTCCTCTGGTGCTTGCTTTGAGATCACGTTTGTCTGCTGGCAAACTACAGTTAATAACATGGCACATAGGTTGTGAAATGAGAATATAGATGACTAGACAGTTTAAACTGTCCTCCAGTTTTGTTTTAACTTAGAGGAGGGAGGAAAGGACATAAGAATGTAGTAATACAAGTTAAAAGATGAAAAAAAAAAAATCAGAGCATGTTTATGTAAAACATATTCCATGTCTTTCCAAAGCATATAGATTGGAAACAAGCTGCAGTGCTTCTCTGGGAACACAGCTATTAAAGCAATCACAAGAATGTAAAAACCCTGTCCTATGAAGAAAGCGTAGCAAAGAATGACAGTGCTGTTTCCAGGGAAAAGGAAGACACTCAGAATATTTGTGAAACAGATATTTTAGGATTTTATCTTTTTTAAATTGTCTGTCTCTGAAAGGCATTGTAAGCCTGCCTTGGAGTCTAGAAACTTTCTGGTCAAAACTTGCCGTAGGTGGTGTCTGGGTGTTTTCCAGCCTGAAGGATCTCACTGGTTTTAATACACAGAAGTTTTTCTGTTACGTTCCCAGGTAACTAGTGAAGCTGAACTGGTGTTTTAAGTGTAGCCTGCAGGAGGGTCACAGTGAGGAGGGGAATACCTTTTCCCCTTGCTGAGTGTTGGCACTTTGTTTACTTTCACAAGCAGTTATGTTCACTGAATGTGGCTACACCCAAAGTAGTTAGTCTTTGTTGCTTTTGTACCAAAGCAGACGCCAACAGAAAAGCCTGGTTGTTATTCATAGCCCTGTGGTTTTTGTCCATCACAAAAGCAACAGAGGATCGCCCAGGGCTGGACTGGCAGGGCTTGTGCAAATGGCATGAGATCTTGCCAGGTCTGAATACTCTCCAGCTCTGAATGACCTGTACTGCGATTTGGAAGAATAATTTAATAACTGCTTAAAAAATAGACTTTAATCAGGCATATACTGTAAGATAGATCTAGAGGTTAGTTGCAGATAATGGGTAATAATTGATATGCTTTTCAGTAAGTAGCAAAATAAGCAGAAAAACACTGAAACAACACAGGAGATCAGCTTGCAACTGAGCTATTGACTGAGTAGCTAGTACATTGTGACTTATTACTGATTTTTTTTTTTTTAAACATTTGTGAAGGTGTGGAACCAAATCTTTGTTTTGAAGGAGTAATACATGTCGCTCTTCCTAACTTGTAGCTAGTATGTAAGTAGCATATAGTAAACTGAGTATCCATATACCTCTATTCTAAGATGTTAAAATTTTCTAAAAGGTGATTACTGGATTAACTCTGAAATAAAGATAATTTCTGTCTCTGGTGTTTAGCTTTGCTCAGATTAGTTTAACAGTTGGACTGAGATTGTGAGGACATTTTCATTTTTTTTCTCTCTTTGTGCTGTATTGAGACCATTTATAACTGTAACTGAATTAGAGTTGGCTGGTAGGTGGGCTTTACAGGAGGTAAATGCAGCATGGACTGGAACACTTCATCACTGTGATTAGGTCTAAATACTGTTTCCACCAGAAGGCCTCCACTACCATTGTCTGATTTTATGCTCTTTCTTAGTTTGTCAGAGAATTGCTTAACAGATAAGTGTGTTAACAGTAACTGGAACTGCAAAGCTGGAATTAAAGAAGGTAAAAATAATGTGAAGGAAAAGCCTGTAGAACTCCAGTTATGTTTTGCTCTTTTATTTTTCCACATTACTTAAAACAATGTTTAATAGCACTGTATCTTATTTTTTACAACAAAATATTTTCATGTATTCATTTCCTGCTTATAACTGAAAACTTCATACAACAGTCACTAAATGTCAGCACCTAAATCTTCATGATACTGTTGTTCTGTAGTGCAGTTTTGTTGTGTTTGGGACCATGGTTAGGGATCATACTCAGTATTCAATGTTCTCCTTTTTTTTTTTTTTTTTTTTTTTTTTGTCAGTGCAAAATGTTTTTAAGGGGGGATAAACATTTACAGCGTATTGGTAGCAAGGCCATGGTTCTAACATGAAACAAAGAGTTAAAACTGGTGTTCATCCATTAACTAAAGAATACAAAAGTTTTACTTTTCTCATACTTGGTTCCTGTTTGCATACGATGATCTTTGCTTTGTGACGCTATCAGACTCAGCTGTATCAAAAAACTCCCAAACAACTATATTTTTATTAAGTGGTAGGTGTGTATTTGTTTTAAGCTTGTTTTTCCAGGTGATAAATGAACTACCTTTATCATTTGGATACATATTATAGACCTTTAAAAATACGGACAATGCTAAGTACTTTGTTAGGGTCAAAAATTCAGATATCTATTAAGCTTCTTGAAGAAAGGGAAAAATGAAAGTAATAAAAATCCTTCCCCCAATATATTTTAAGTAAATTCTTGAGCATGGTACTTTTATACAAAGATATATTTTAATCATAAATGCCATTCTATTCCTCAGTCAAATATTATGACAAATATAGGACATAAACCCATTTTATTGCAATGATTAAGAACACCACTTCTCAACCTTCTTTATAAAAAACAACAACACTAAAACA